AGTGAAGGGATGTCCATATGTATACCTCCCTTTGAATCACTGATTTAACTCTCTAACAGTTGGCATCAGTTATATAAGGAATTTATTTATATCTTATTAGGTTGGTGTTTAGCTTACTTACCGAGCCATAGACAGAGCCACAGGCATCCATGCACAGGTACAGGCATGTGGCCACACTCTGCAGCTTAATGCGTCCCACATCCACAGTGGAGCGCTGGAGAATCGCTGCAAATAAAGACAGGCAGAGAAAGTCTCAGATTAATTAATTATCAATCACAGTCTGACCCACAAAAAGCAGAGTGTCAGGATGTCAGTTTCCCCAAAGGGCCCAACACATCCAGCGAGTTGTTAATTGCATATCGCCCCAAACACCTGGAAGAGTTGTCGGTCCCAGAAAAGACTTAAAACTTCGACTTAAGAATATACAACAAAAATGTAATATATACCATTTTAAGAAGTTCCAGCTGCGATACACTTAATCATAGATTCCGCATTTGTCAACCCAATCGAAAGATGCCCGGAAAGTGGACATAAATTATGTAAAGATCATTTCTTCGGGTTAATTGAAATTGCCGCCTTGCACTTGAAGTCTTGCAATGATATGAAAAAATACACACAGGCACACGCAGGCAGGCGGGCAGACATACACCGAAAAAATTCAAGTTCAACATTTTTTAAGGTCAAACCACTTGTGTGGTCGGTCGGTCCCCCAGCAGCAGCCAAGGAGGACCGCCTGCCTCTTTGTCAGTTGGCACTGTGGCTGTGGCGGTCTGACGGCCAAAGTGTGTCAGCACTTGTGTAGCTCTTGCAGCTCTTTTGTGCTGTTTTGGAGTGTGTTCGTTCGTTCAATGAACTTTATGCACTTTGTGTGCATAATAAACATCAATTTATAAATATCGCAGCTTGTTACGGGAGCAATATCCATAGGAAATGGGAAATCTCAGCCAGCTGCTGGCTTCAAAAGCGGCAAAAGAATTTCCCGAGGTTCATAATACAAATTATTATTAGAGATTCTGGATACCCCGCAGAAATCCCGGAACACACATAATCGAACATCTAACGCGGAGGCCGGGCTCCTATTTAAGCGGAGTGGCCACTTGAGTGAGGAAAATATGGAAAAATTATTTATGGAGAGGAAACAATTTTTGGCATGCGTTCATGATATGATATGATGATGGGAATCCATTTATTTACCAGTATGTATATTTTTATGACAGTTTTAGAGGTACTGTATCATGAAAGAGGAAAGTGCTATTTGTAGAAATATATTTGCAACTCTTTGAATTAAACGTTTCTTCCCATTGAACTCTTTAAGTGATGCAATGTCCAGGAATTATCTCATTTCGCCCTCTCTCTTCTTTTCCCCAGAGTTCACTTTTGTGTGGAAACTGTGCCAGGGAGATAAACAGACAGACGCTACGGCGGCGCAGGCAAATATCATAAAACACTGCTGTCAATAGGCCCATGCAATTTATGGCCCATATGGGTATACCGTATACCACTACCGTATCTGCAACTGCAACTGCAACTGCAACTCCCCGGCCCCAAACAGTAAAAGGCATGCGTTTTTATTTACACGCCCCTTTCCCTTAGCTTTCACACTGGGATCATCGCTGTTCCTCTTGTGCTTCCAGTGCCAGAATTTCTCCACATTTCTCTCCAATGCCTGTTCTTTTACAATACGGAAATTGTAAAGTTAGCAAAAACAACAACAACAAAGCAGACTATGTTCCCGTTGTTCCCTTCCTCTTCATTTCGTTCCGTTCCCGTTTATACGATAGATTTATAATTTCCCTCCGTACCAAAAGAAATTCCCATTGACATGAGTAATTGTTCCGCTTTGTACGTTACATTGTACATATGAACCGGCGTAGAGCATTTTGGGCATTTACTGCGTCCCCGTCTCCCACCATCATTCTTCGCGTCTTGCCAATGCCAATGCTTTGGTACCTCTGGTATATCTCTCTTCTAAGCACGCTGGGAAATTCTCTTTGACTCATATTACCCTCTGGCCAATAGGGTATCAACAAAAAAATAGACGTACTAAACAAATGACATGCTAAGCGCGTCAGTTCATTTGTTAAAAACAAAGTGGTGGGAGGTGTTGGTGGAGCAGGGGCGGCAGCCCGTCCAGGGACAGCCTTTCACTTTGGTGGAGCTGTCGCTGTCGCTGCCCGAATGCCCCCCGTAATAACCATGTGGTGTTGCATTTCACTTGCTTCGTGCTGGTCGTGGGATGCGCAGCGACTCTTTTCGACTCATTTAAAAAACGATTTGTTTTGCTCGAGTTAACAAAACGTAATTTTTCTTCTTTTTTATCTTTTGAGATACATATATGTATGTCATACATATGTATGCATGTGAGCAGCGACAACTTTTGGCGTATTCAATTGTTTCTAAAAAGAATAACTTATATTTATTCTTGTGGGAAACATTTCCATTGGGTCTGGAGAGAACAGAACCAGCAAAGAAAAGGTTGTCTGTGTGTGCTGAGAGCATAACATAGAACTTTGGCGCAACTGTTCGCATGTGGCGCCGTGGCTTAGTTGGTTAAAGCGCCTGTCTAGTAAACAGGAGATCGTGAGTTCGAATCTCGCCGGGGCCTATGCCTGACTAAAGTGAAGGCATTGTATTTTTTTTTCTTTTTTTTTTTTGTAATTTCTGTATGTTTTATGTGAAATGATGTTTATTTGGTATTTGGATAAGGTTTCCTATTAAAATAAAAAAATAATTCTTGATAGTTGAAATAATATTAAAATTGTGTTATTTTTTTCACTTTCCACGTTTCATTTGATATTTGCATTGAAGGAAATAAGTGATTTGCCATTAGGCTCGTATAATTTTCACCTAACAGCCATTGAAGTGCTTCCCATTTGCTCAGGCCATTATTATCCGACTAGTACAATAACGTAAGGTGTGAAACACATGCATAATGATAATCAAATGATCTTTTATTGATCAATCAATGTGTCGAGTGGCAGTTCAATCAAATGCGGACTGCAGTTCATTGAACCAACCAATGGGAAATCCAAAGAACTACCAATAAACGAGCACTTCGGATCGTATATAAATTCCTGGCACGCTTCTGAGCTGCTTTAAATTACCCACATATTAAGCACGTAGTCCGCTTCGGAGTCGGTGAGAGAGAGGGAATAAGACCCCGCTGTCCAAATGAATGTCACGCTCAGACAATAATTAAAATGTCAAAAAATATGCCTGTCAAAGATTCCAAGTTTTTGGAGAGGTGCTCGATTGAGTTATGTGCCACGGGTGGATGGCTCGTTCCTATGCCATGTGGTATGGGGTTCCTTTGATAACTGTTAAAGGAGTGAGGGATGGAGGGACTTACATATTTTTATAAATGCAAATGAGACCTTAATTTTTTTCCAATTTATGTGCCGGGCCAAAAGACTGACAACGAAAAGGAATAACATATAATCGGTATATCCATAAATGTATATGAAAAGCATTTTTATTATATTTTTAATTATGCTTACAAGCTCAACAAAAAAAAAGTGTGACGTTTTGGCATGACAGTTTATGAAAATTTACGATCACTTTTGTGGTTATTTAACATAATACTCAGGAATGCTATGCATACAGCCCATAAAACAGATATCTCTGGGAACATCTCTTTTCTCTCGATTCCTCTTGCAAGATATTTTATGCTTTTGTTCGGACTCTCAGCCACTACTGTGCCACGCCGTCTTTTGTGGTGTCTGTTTTTCTCTTTGTGGCCTTTGTGGTCTCTAATTTATGGTCGTGGGCAGCGTATTTTGACAATTTGATTTGAATTAGAGTGCGAGCATATCAATCAATTGTGGAGCCCAAAACAGGGACTCAGCATATGTCCCCCAGAGATTGCTGAAGAGTTAACAGTCAGTCAGTCAGTCAGTCAGTCGTCTGTCTATTAAAGGCCAATTAGTAGCCAATTTATTGAGTTGTCATTTTGAGGCTATAAATCTTGAGGCCTTCCTGCAGCCTTTTGCGTGGCAATAAATCAAACCGTGGGCGGTGCTACGATACGATAAGAAGATCTATTTAGCGTTTGCAGGTTCCTCTTCCTCGAAATTTGTCTTATTTAATCAAAGCTACTTATGTAAATGTTTGTGAAAGCCGCCACCGAGGGCAGCACTTCTCACCCTAAATTTGTGTGTGCCAGCAGCGTTTTCATGGTTCGTTGGAGAAATTGCAATTCCGATCCAGGTTTTCGCATCTCATATTAACACCCATTCAAACACTCAAACACAATCACAATCTGTGAGTGTGGCAAAATTCAATTCACAGTTGGCTAAACCTCGCACCCTCTTCCGCGACTCCACACGCTCTCGCGCGCTCTCTCTCTCTCTCTCTCTCTCTCTCTCTTTTCATGTGTGTTTTTTTTTTGGGCAATCGAAATGCATTTTATTCGAGGGGGGTTGACAACGGATATCCTGCAACCGAAAACCTTATTGGCCAATTTCCGATAAAAGCATAATGCGAAAATGCGCAAATAAATAAATTACAAACGTCTTGACAGCTGATGAGATTTTTCTGTCTCTGCCCCGAGGGGTTGTTTACCCCTAACAAAAAATAAAACGCCCACAAGCTAAGGGATTTCCCACATCGTTGCAGTTGGCTTATAATAATGGAAAATATTGTCATATCTGCTAAATGAAATCTGTGTGGATGAGTGCCTGAAAATTCCTACATGCCACACGAGTGTGGATGTGGATGGATATTCTGTGGCTTTCTCTCTCGACAGACAATTGGAATGGTCCTATCTATGCTACCGTTTCCCAGACAGGGGATATCTCCACTCTAAGATCTCTCGCTGCGGACCCAATTCATTAATGAAAAATGAATCGGCTTATTGGGAATGCCTTCATTTGATTAAACTAGACTAATAATGTGTAAAGCATGGGCAGTGGCCCATTCGAGTGGCCCACCAAAGCAGCAGACCAAATCAAAAGCCGATTAGCCGTTGAAACTTTTTCCAGTGAAAGTTTATGGCCTTAAAATAAAACGAAATCAAATTCTTACAAATTAATACAAGGCTAAGAAAAACAGACACACAAATGTAAAATTTAAAAACAAACAAATGGTGGGGAAAAATGTCGAAAATTATGTTTGAAAATGTTGGAAACTATGTTTGAAAATGTAGAAAATTATGTTTTGAAGAAAAAACAAAAAAAAAAACGAGAAACTGATGTTAAGAAAGATGTTAAAAACTGTAAAACGCTTTG